AAAAGAAAAAAAAAAAAAAAAAAAAAAAAAAAAAAAAGAAAGCCACCCCCTGCCTGCAGACGCCAGCGCAGCCATTTCCTATCCTTACCTTGTGCGAGCGTTTCTCGCGTACCTCTTCTCGGGGTTGCGGTGGATTTGCTTCTCTTGAAAACAACGGCGGCGGAATCTGCACCACCACCACCACCACCGCCCATTGCCGCCGCCCTCGCCCCCACATTCACACCCACGTCCTTCTTTTTCTTTTTCTTGTGTGTGGGAATGGCAAATGGCAATCTCGATGAAGTAAGGTGGTGGCGGACTTGAAGGGAGGAGGCGGCGGCGCCGCCGCTGACGGCGGCGCCGGTGGAGAAATCGGATCTAAATGAAGGGGAAGAAGAGGAGGAAGAAGAGGGGAAAACTGGTAGAGGGAATGAAGAGGAAACAAGCTTGCCGAGCTTTTCTTGGAGGCAAAAAGCGCAGATCCCACCTTGTGGGGTGCTGTTTTTGTATGGGTGGTTTGTGCATTGCATGCTGCCTTCACCCATATCTTCGTGCACCACTTCCATCACCATTTTTTTTGTTTACTGAAGCTCAACAAAATCTTGATAGACAGAAAAATGTTAATTTTTTTTTATTTTTTTTGACACTTGAAACTGAATATTCTTGCGACCCAGATGAAAAAAATTCAATCTTGTTAACTGGGTTTTCGGTTTTTACCTCTTGGGTATAGCATCAGAACTGTTCTTGACTACTGATTCAGTGCAAGAAAAGAGAGGAGAGAGAGAGAGTGAGGTCAAAGCTGTTGTGAAAGATGCTATGAATGCAAAAATGTATCAGAATTGAAGTTGAGTGGGGAATGGGACTGAGATGGAGCACGTGGAAACCAGATTAGTCTGTGTAATAAAAAAATAAATTGACAAACGAACAAGACAACCAAAACCCTAATTGTTCTTATTTAGGGGCAAGTTTTGTGGGCCGTGTTTGGAATCATTTTTTCTAATCAAAAGGGCAATTAGTCTCAAAAAAAAAAAGGGCAATTACTACAAATTGTCAAAAGAATAGTTTAATTCATGGTGATATAATCAGAAGACACTATTCTCTCCACTACTTGTAAATGAATGAATTTTCAATATCCACAAGTATACCACAAAGAAATAATAAAATCTAAAAAAATGACCAAAGCATCTTCTCGTAAGATCTATTTACGAAAAAAAACCTTACTATTTCATAATTACATACATCCCTGCAATTTGTATATTTCTTACGTTTACAGGAGTTGTATGTAATTTTTCAAAAATAAGAGGGTTTTCGTGAATAGACTTTAATTCATGGAGGTGGTTTTAATTTATCCTTTATTTATTTGATGCTAATTTAATTAAATTGGTTGATGGTGTGTCATTATCAGCCAATCAAGGGACTGATTTTAACACTTAAACAACCTTAGCCTCACATGAACATGGGGAATCTGCAGACCACATTTTGTCTTATTATTCTTGTGAATATATATACATGTCAAATTGGATCTTGATTTACATAATATTTTAGTTAGCCCAACTAAAAATTACTAACATAAGAAGTAGAATATAATCAAAGTGCATGATTGTTCCAGTTTGTTTTAATTCCTTTCGATTTTTAAACGTTACATTAGCGTTTGGGTTGATAAGCAATCAAGTCAAGCTCGAACGAGCTTAACTATATTAACCTTATACGCATATGTTATTATTTTTTTTTCAATCACGCTCGAGCCGAGTTTTACAACTTATCAAATGAATATACGTTTTCAAGCTTTATGTTAGTAAATCAAGACTTTAAGTATCGATTTCGAATTTAATTTCGAGTAATTTAATTTTGATTTTCAGCTAGATTCGAATCCCTAATTTGATGCAGGATCAATTCACTGCACTTAGCATTCAGGTACTAATAGTCCATTCTACCCTTCTTCTCTTACTCATTTTTTTGCATGTACACATCATTAACAATTGTCGAGTTAGGCTATTATTAACAAACACTTACCGATATAAGTCGCTGATATTTCATGTTTTCTGTGGAATCTTCAGTTAGAACCAAGTGGAGTCAGGCATATATATATATACATCGAGGATTCGATCTAATCGAGAAAATCCTTCATCAAGTCTTTGGCCTGCATAATAAAAAATCAAACGGAAAAAGTTACAATACATTTTTAATAAGGAAAAAAAAAATGAAAGTTTGAAACCATATAATTTCATAATGCACCTGTTTTACCGACACTCCGATACCCTTTAAATCTTCAAGCTGTAGAGCAAAATACTACATTAATATTGAAAAACAAACACGAATACGATTAATGTTTCAGAAATAAATCCTTACGGTCTTGAATGGTTCGGGAGATTTTTTCCTACATTCCAGAATTCGTTGAGCCCGTTTCGGCCCAATACCCTGTATCAACCAGATATGTAGCAACGAAGATAAATTCAATACACGTGATTAAGATAAATGTAAGCATGATTTCAGACATTAAAAGTGACTGATATACCTTCAAGCTTCTCAACTCTTCGCTGCAAATAATTGAAAAAAAAAATAATAAGAATTTGAGAACTAGACCAACCATAAGATTTTCACAGATAAATATCCTCAAATAAATATAGGAATGACTTACTTATTCGCAGAATTGAGAAAATCGAGATATTTTTGTTCGAAAGACTGTTTGATCACAGATCTGCAACAGCTGGTTGGAGTCGCAAATCTTGCACTGGAATGTTGAATATCCTCTGGCATATTAACTGTCGATGAGGATGAATCTACGTAGAGAAATAATACACAAATCAATGCATTATCAACAAGTATTTAATGCATTTTTATCGATTACGTTTGGTGATAGTTTGTTGTACCTGCTTCAAAATGTGTCTCGACCTGATTTTGCTTAGCATTCACTGATTTTGCTTCTACAAAGAGTTCCCTTAGAAGAAGAAGAAAAAAGGTAGTTATATGTCAATAGCAACTCCAACTTAATCTCAATTGACATCAAGTTAAATTCGACGTGGAAGTAGGTTTTACCTTCCTTCCAAGATGCAACTAGTCTTGTTTGTCGAAAGGAGCCGACTACGTGTAACCTGTTTTTTACCACTCAAGGAAGCAGACATAATCTTCCGATTTTGACTTCTGTTAGTAGAGTCTGTTAATACTTTCTTGATGCCTTGAGACGAACAGCGATAAATTAAACCCATAAGGCTCAGAGAGTCCTGACAAAAATAAGGATTCTGCGAATAACAAAGACAACAACACAATGTTAAGACTTTAAGGTTAGGATAATCAAATGACTGAGACAAAGACAATTAAGGTAGAGCTCCAAACACATACCAAGCAAGTGAGAAGTAATACTTGACTTCTGCCACCAGGCGGATCTTGTAAGATTCGAGTGAGTTTACTTCCCCGATATGGTACCCAAGTCTCGTTTGAGTTAATAGCCCTAACAACATCCAGTAATGCATACAACAAATTGTTGTTCTCAAAACTACCGCAACTGTTTCTAGGATCCTCGTAAGCTGATAAGATGTGGAATACATAATTAGATAAATGATTGAACAAATGAATATAATATTCAAATGTAAATGAAGATTCAGGAATTAATCAGACACCTGCTAAATCAACGAAATTAATCTTGTTTCCCGACTTTGATTTAAGTTTGTCGTCTTCAGATGGTAGGTGCACTATCAAGCCCTTGCTGTGTGGCAAATCCGTTGGTTTCAATTGAGTACACCTAGAACTCGTTTGACCGAAGTATATATTATAAAATTCTGTAATACTGCTCACGGGGACCTGCAAAACATATTAAAGAACCGAAACAGGTTTGAAACAAGAACAAAGGTTCGGAAACTTTAGCAAGTTCAGACATATTTCTTGCCTGAGAAAGTCCTTTAAGGTTGACTTTGCCTTGAGCATCTTCTAGTATTTGAATGGCATGATTGTCGGGGTTTAAAAGATCTTTCAAATGCTCTTGTGTCAGTTCATAGAGGGAGATAGAAACTGACTTGCCTAATTCCTTTGCTTTGGAAAGGATTTCCGACATTGCAATCACAGCTAGACCTGGTTTCTCTCGACACCCCTTCATTATAAATATACTTCATCATTAACGAAGAATATGCGTTTTTCTACAGAGACAGAGAAACGAAAAAAACCTGTATGGAGTAAGTTTTGCCACTTCCTCGCGCTCCTAGAGCGATCACTGATATACTCAGGCCATCAAAAATCTCTAAAATCAGGGGTTTTATCTCTCTTGAATATATCTGATTAATTTCTTCGTGTTGTTGATAGCAATAGTCCAGCTCATACCCATCCCTTCGACTAACACACAAATCCAAAAGAAATGTAAAAGATCAGATACGATTCACGCTGTAAAACAGAGAAGCTGATACATAGCACTCAAATTGCTGAATCTTTCAATTTCACTGAATTACCAGGTATTATTTATAGCAGTATTTATTCACCAGTGTATTCGTAGACCATATTCATACATATTCATCAGCTAACACTTCATCAAACTCAAGGCACTGAAAAACCATCTTAAAAAACCCTAAATTACTTACAATCTAGTCCGATAATCCACTATCTAAGAAGCTGATATAAATCAAAATTTCCACAAGTAATCTCAAAATGAATACAAAACTGCAGCTAATTTTTCATCAATCGTTGAAATGCGTATAAAAATTTCAGAAACCAGACAATAAACAAAATATAACATTAAAAAGAAATTACCTGTCGAGAAAGACCGTAGATATCTCTGAAACGCCTTTTCCAGGTGCCGTTTGAACTGAAATCCAGGGGTTTGAATCGTGACTCAGGGTTTCCGATTCTTCGTCGGTTAAACCCCTTACTTTGCCGACGATTCGCACTTTTCTAGGATTATCTGATTTAGCGCTGTGTGATTCTGCCATTAGAGGAGAAAAATGCTTGTGTGTGTGTGTGTGTGTGTGTGTGTGTGTGTTGCGTGTGAAAGGAGAGCGGAAGCTATAGCTGTAAGAGCGCCAAGCTTAACTAATGTAAGTGTGGAAGACAATAATATGTTATTAGAACATCGATTAAAACAAATTCCAAATTTTGCAATATTCCAATTTTCGAAATCCCAATTGGTGATTTTCCAATTTTTGGTTTATCAGTTTCTAATATATAATAATCGAAAATTCTAATTTTTGATATGATCTAATTTCGAAAAATATTACCAGATTTTGGATAGTTATGATCTATGTAGCACGAAAATGAAAATGACGATAGGGGAAATGGATACGGAAAAATAGCATGTTAAAAAAAATGAGAACACGAAAACTTAGGAGAACGCGTAAATATTAAAAGTATAGGGGTATATTTACGTATTCTAACATATATATTTTTTTATATATTAATTTTTTTTTATATATTTTTATGTAAACACATTAAAATCAATCATTAAATCATATAAATAATCTGAGAAACAGCAAAATATTTAAAAATTTATCATTCAAACATATTTCTAACTTTTTAAAAATAACAAAATGGAATATTAGATGTTCGGTAGGTGTGTTTGAGTTTCGAAGTCGAAGTTTCCGTGCTACATATATTATACATATTTTTTTCACTGCCTTTTAAATTAAAATCTTAAATACTTTTTATATTCACACTTTCCCACGATATTGTTTCCCGCCAAAACCATTACCACAGAACCTTCTACTCCCTCCACCACCACCATGCGCCCCGCCGTCAAGCTGCCGCGAAACTCTACCACCGCCCTCCACCGTCCACCTCAACCGCCGCCGTTAACGGACGTCGAAATCATTTCTCTCGCCCAACACCACGGCGACATCTCCTCCCAGCTCCCACCCTTCCTCCTCTCCGAATCCTCACACCCAACCCTTCTCTCCTTCCTCCACTCACGCGCCTCCGCGGCCACACCCAACTCCTCCTCATCCGTCTCCGACTACGTCTCCTCCCTCCTATCCCTCATCTCCCGCCACCCCTCCTCCGCCCTATCGTCCCTCCTTCCGCCCCTGCTCCACTCATACCTCTCCCTCTTCACTTCCCACAAGATCCCACACGACCGCAACTCCTTATCCACGCTCCAGCAACTCGTGGGCTACATCGACTCAGTCGAAATTAGCGAGTTACCTAAACTCATCGACTCAATCACATCGTACCTCCCCCAAATCAACGATTTGGAAGATGTCCATCTCTTGATTCTCCTCCCAAAGTGCGTCGAATTGGTCAGAATATCGAACGAAATCGATAAGCCCGTCGAATACATAAGCTCGGTTATCGACGCTCTCCTTAATTGCGACTGGAGCAAGGTTTTGCTGATCAAAATGGTGCAAATTGTCCGGGATTTTTCGTCCTGTATCGATAAAGTGAGAAAGAGTGAGTTCTTGGAAAAGATTTTCGCGAAAATGAGGGACGACGTCGAAATACAGGATCTGCCGGGGCTGGTTTATCAGTTGTTGGTACTGGCAACAAAAGGTTTCGGAAAACGACAAGTGATCGAAGGCGTTGTGTTGTATTTCGGGGGTACGAAAAAGGCGGGTTCGATAATGAAGCAAGTGGAGGGGACGGTTTTGCTTCACGTGAATTTTGCGGTGAAGCAGGACACGTCGTTGGGGCAGGAGGTTTTGGGTTTGGTTCGATTGGATTCGAGGGCATTTAATCATTTTACTGTTTTGATTCTGTTGTCGATTGCTAGAATCAGGAGATTCAACGAGAGTGCGGTTGCTGTTCTGAAAACGGCGCTGCTTAATGCTTATAAAGATTATAAGTTTGCAAAGTAAGTCGTTCGTTTTCGCTACTATACTTTGGTGATCGTTGTATTTGTGTTAATGGTTTTCATCGTTGTGATTCATTTTCTTGTCAGAGTGTGTAGATGGCTACCGGATGAACTGAAGGAGGAATATGTGGAGAAAGCTCGAGCAATAGAAAAGGCGATTCTTAAAGCTGTGAGCTATTTTTCATTTTACACTCGTCTACGATCAGATTTTTGTTTTTTCGCGTTTTGTATGCAGCTGGATTTTGAACAAAGCTAAAAATGATGAACCGTGTGAATGTGGAGAGGACTAGATCAATTATATTCTGCATAGTTTCCGTGTCATAAGTATTCAGTTGCTCGTGAATTTCTTACGTTTTTCGTTTCCCTTCTCAATTTCTTGGTGGCACAAAAGCATGGGCCATCTCATGATTTTATACAATTACTTGAAATTTTTTGTATGGGGATTCCTAGAAGTATGGATAAATGATTAACCGTAGCTACGTTTGTTGTTGTTGTTGTTTTTTATATGTTTTTGGTTCCGTTCTCGCAGGTGAATGCAAGCCATTATGGCAGAGAACATATTTTACCCAGTATAGTACAATTTGGATTTGGATTACTCGAAGGGGTAGAAGAGGGAACCCAAAAAGAAGTCTCGAAATCGGACGGGCTAATGGGTACCGAGGAGCTCGGTGCTCAGGTGCTAAAATGCTTGTTTGAAGTACACGACATGTCAAGAAACGAGGTCAGTAATCCAGTACAGTATATACCTGCATGAATACGAGGTTCGAAACACTTCGATACTGAGCTAATTTGTCTTTTCAGATAATCGAGCAATCAAAATTACACGTTCTTTCTCTGAAGCCTGAACGTTGCTTCCCCATACTAAGGTGGTACTATTAGATTATTTTCATTTCTTTTGTTTGTGGTGCAAAAAAAAAGTTGAGCTTATTTCGTTTCATACGTTGTCTCCAGATTGCTTGAGTATCTCGTCCAGGTTCATCCGCATCCGATGTTGGAACACGTGTCGCACTTGAAAGAAATGCTGGATTATTTCGCATTTATGGACGATAAGATTTCTTATCGCCTTGTTACTGTTCTACTCCCTCTCGTCAAGTTCAGTCGTGATCTTAAGGTACTCAATTTGCATTACGGATATTATTATACATCCGAACTAGTGGAGTTTATATATGTTTTCTTGATCAAATAATATTTTTACCAATATCAGAGTAACTAACTTAAACCTCCCTATGTAACTTTTCGACTACGAAGGATTACGTCATCTTGGTTTTACGAAAGGCTATGTTTAGACGAGAAAACACAGTTCGTCTTGCTGCATTAAACGCCATTTTGGACCTCATTTTAGCTGAAAAACAATCAAAAGCAGACGGGCTTTTTTCGTTTCAAGAATCAAGCAGTCAGGCGAGTTGCAGCCAACAAGCTGAAGTACCTCAACCGACTAAGGCGGACCTTTTCCAAGAACTTAGTGGTGTGCTTCAAAGATGCCTTTATCAGCAGGTTCGTTTCAATGTTTATTGCCTTTCACAACTCGTATTTTTTACTAGATTCGAAATTTTATACGAACAGAAACGTATTTGTCGAGATGCGCGCTCCATTTCATTTAACAATTTTGTTTTTTTTCAGGCGAATGTCCGGGAGAATTTGTACAATGGTTTAGTGAAGCTTGTTCTGGTGGACCCGCTAACTGCCGGCACCGTATTTGATTTTCTCTTGTTCCACTTCCAGCGATTTTACAGAGAGGTAATTCTGTACAAGAACTTAGTCGAGACCAGTTTTGCATGTACCCATGATTTTGACAATTAGTATTTGTTTTTTCTTCTTCTTAGGATGCAGAGGTGGTTCAGTTAGGTATCGATCAATGTCTGAAACTCGAAAACGGAAAATTTTGTATCGAAGAGCCGCTCGACTGCCTTCTCTTTTGTGTATCTTGGATTCTTCTCCTCCAACCGCAAATTAGGTCCGATCAGCCTTCAGAGTCGCAACCTTGTTTTGGCTTCTCCATCACTCAAGACAACGAGGTGATTGAATTTCGTTCCAATTATTATGAAACTACTAAATATGTGGTATTCACTGACGAAATATCGGCACAAAATTAGGCTGGAAATCTCTGTCGGGAGAGTCGTTCTCAAATGCTGTCACAAAGATCCGGAAGTTTCTGAGAATGAGAATTTGGAAGGTATTCTTTTCACCGAATACAGTAGAATTTCGATAAATTAATAACCTCGCTTAAATAATAACTTCTTACGGTCCCGACTCGGTAAAAACGTACTAATTTATTAGCTCGATAATTTAATATTTTCGCTAAATTAATAAAAATTTATCAGTCCCGACTCTGTTATTTTATAGAGGTTTAACTGTATCATTAATTGTAATAACTTATATTTTCTTCGGGGTTTATATGGTTCCACTGTCCGTAATAGCGTTCGTTTTGATTATTTTTCATTGGCCTGTGGCTGATTTGTGACTTCTAACAGTAGTTGTTTCTTATGTTGGTTTGTTTCAATGGCACGTTAGTTAGGTCTGCTGGGCAAAAATCAAGATTCGGGCTCGACACCGATAGAAGAAGAAAAACGGAGGTGTTCAGCTACACTAATATTGGGGATTATTGAGGTTCTAATGAACAACATTGTCGCTGAGCTGGCGAAAGCTGCTGATGCACAGAAATCGGAACTGGAGAAGGAGCTTTCTCAGTTTGTCGAGATTCACGATTCTGTGGAGAAATATACATCCAATTCTAGACAGTGCAGTGGAAATAGAAAATCAATAATACGGCCTAGTGCTAGCGATTCTTCTCATAATAATAAACTTGCTTTAGGCACTACCAAGTTGACTATCGAACGAACTCCTCTTTTGTCAACTTCGACCATCCATCGGCTCTTGCAACTTGCACTAGAGTTATGGGAACTTGATTCTTCGAAGAAAAATAGCCAACTTTCCTCTGGCAAAGCACAAGCTCTAAATCTTAAAACTTTATCTTGCGTTCTACAACTCTGCCTTCGTCAACTGAAATTTTTCTCTTTCGTCGGAAAAGACGATCCACTGAAAAAATTGATCTATGGTGAAATTAAGCTTATCGGGCCTTCAGTAATGAATATAATTTTGTCTCTCAAGGCTGTGCCGAAATCCGAGAGAGATAGTAGTAAGAAAGAACCAAAGGGAAGGAAAGATTTCGAAGATAGGCTGGAATATATTCATTCGGCCTTGCTTTGTTTGAAAAGACTAATCGAGATAAGCTTGCATTCCTCAAAGTACGCAGGTTTGATCGAGGATTTGGTGTCGGCCAATCGAGTCGACGATGCTTCAACTGCTGCTGTGGGTGATGAAGAGTGTGAATTAGCCGAAGGCATTGATGACCAAAGCACGAAAAGCAAAGAATTATTCATCAAGAAGAGTATAGAGCCACTACTGAACGAGTTTCTTGATTTTTCTTTCTTCCGCGAAGCTGAGGTCAGCATAATTTTGCTTTGTATCTCATATTACTTGTATATTATATCGGAAAAATGCCATTGAAATATATTACATGTCTTTCTTAGATTCTCTGCGACATAGTACTGATGATTGGCAACACGTTGCCTGAAGAAAGGAGGAATATTCTTGGATCATGGACGATGAAAATCGTCAAAACCAGTCATATATCAAACTCAAAGGTTGCAAAATGTTTAGTCTTAACTGCGGTTAACTTAACCTCGCCTCCTTCAGACTTTATTATTGCCGAAAATATGTCTGCAGAACTTCTAACAGTCGTTGGATCGGAGGGTCCCACCGGTCCCACTGAGCCTTTAGATATGTCCCAAAAATTCCCCGTTATAAACAAATCAACATGCGCTGCAATAGCTTCAACTATATTGCAGTCGGTTGAGTCAACCATTCTTGATATTGACTCGATTATGACAAGGCTGAAGACATACTACGTAGCTACTCAGAAAAGCGCTTCGTTTAATCGGAGTGGCGAAACGGCTACAGAGTTAGCAGTTGAAGAGATACTATATTCGAGAGCAGAAGCTGTTGTCGAAGTCCTGTCGCATTTTGTTGCGATGAATTTAAAGGGTAATTAATGTATTGAAATCGAACTCGCGTTGCTTTCTTGTCTGAAAAAAATAAATATTTTATGCCGTATTCTAACATTGTAAAACGATATGCAGAAATACAAGCAGAGCATTTGCTGAGATTGTCGGCGAAGTTTTACAAGAATCTATCGAAATTATCGAAGCTGAGAATTGCTCTAAAGGGGTGCAAGCAAGTGGAAATAACGTGCAGGACGAGAGGCTAGTGGAAATAACGTGCAGGAAATTAACAGCACCTATTTATAATTTCATGGCTCAAATGCAGAAGGTATTATTATTATTATTTATTTATTACGAGACGTTGCGTTTTTGTGAAATGTATTAATTGAATTATATTATCGAATTTACGATCGGTTTTTTCTGTTGCTGCTTTGTAGAATCAACAAGAGAGCAACAAAACGAAAGGGATAGTAAATAAAATCAAGAGGGAAAACAAATACATACCGGACTTGATTTTCCAGATAGAAGACTACGAAAAGTATCTGATCCAGCTCAGCAAGGCCACGAAGGTCAATTTGTTGAGGCATGCGAAACGGAGCACGTCTCGTGACTTCAAAATTGTCGAGCCGGTGAATCAAGAAAATGAAAATGGATCGGCTGAAGGGAGTGGCGGCGAAGAGGGAGAAACCGACAGCTGTCAGTTGCCTGAACGGAGTGGACCGGTGGCTGAAGAGGAGGATAGTGAGGATGAAGACGAAGACGAAGATGCTCTCGTTCGAGTTAAAAGAGCGAAAACGAGTTTAGTTGTGCAGGACTCATCAGATGAAGAAGTATGAATATAGCTAGAAATAGTTTGTGTTGAATTTTTGGTTATTAATATTTAAAAGGGTAAATTGCACTTCACCCCCTAAAAAAGTACTTTTCTTGCACTTTCTCCCCTAAAATTATAAAAAGATGAGATTGTCCCCCTTCGAAATATGCAGTTCGGAGTACTTTTTCAGCTTTTAAAATCCCCCTTTCATAGTTACTTAAGGTTCCCAAATTGATGAAATTCTCTTGCAAACTGGACAAATTTCTAGTTCGACAAAATTTGTTCTATGTTCTTCAAAATCATGGTAATATGCGGTGGTAATTGGTCAAATGACATTTATAGCCTTAAAGGACGAAATCACACACTCAATTTACTCAAACCCGACGAGAATTAGACTGGAAATACACATTTGGGGCAAAATGCACCGAGTTGTATATTTCAAAGGGGGACAGTCTCGTTTTTACATTTTGAAGGGGGAAAGTGCAAAATGGCGTTTTTAGGGGGCAAAGTGCAATTTTCCCTATTAAAAAAATTAAATTAGGAAAAATATATGTAGATTCATATTTGGTTTGCATCATATATGTAGTTTCATTGCTTTCGTGGAAATCTTTTTTTTCACTATGGTTTGACTGTTTGACCACACAAATAAGGTCAAGAAAGGGTCAAATGGTAAAAAAATAATTATTATACTATAGAAAATGTAAAAAATAAAAATTCCAAAATCCCTAGTCACACAGTCATCACACAGTGAAAAGCAGAGAAATTCCAAAAACCCCTCCGTCAGTCGTCAGCCAAATTAGAAAACCCAGCTTTACATATCAGACACCACACACACACACACACCTCTCTCTCTCTCTCTAGCTGAAGATTTATTTTCTCTCTCTAGCTGAAACTTTCATTTTGAGCGAATATCACTTTATTGGAGAAAAGGAGATTCAGAAATGAGTGCAGATTCGAAGAGGAACGGCGGTGGTTCTGCGGTGGCGCCGCCGCCGCTCATGTCATCCTCCGACGATAGGAAATCCTCCTCCGGATCGAGTCCTGGCAAAAAAGTCATCATCAAAAGCGCAGACATGAAGGAGGACGTGCAGAAAGAAGCGATCGAAATAGCCGTTGCTGTAATCTCTCTCTCTCTCTCTCTCTCTCTCACACAATTTTTAATTTTCAATTTTTTTTCTTCATTTTCCTTACAATTTTTTGTGGTTTTCCGTAGGCGTTTGAGAAGAATAATGTAGAGAAGGATGTGGCGGAGCACATAAAGAAGATGTTCGACCAAAAGTACGGCCCTACTTGGCATTGCATCGTCGGCAAGAATTTTGGTAATCAATTTTATTTTTTCTTCTCAATTGAACATAATAATAATCATGAATGTTTTGTCAATGGAGTAATGTTTGGTTGCTGCTTTTGTTTTGGAACTCTAATATGACGTTTATTAAATTATCAAAAGGTCCGTTTCAGTACCGATTATGTTTAAGTGATCGTATGTTTTGAATAGATGTTACTTAGAGCTTTGTCTTGTTGTTGAGTGTGAACTATTGTATGATATATGAGTTCGATCTGTGAATTGGCGAATTTTCCGATTGGCAGATTCAGTGTACGAGTTGTTTGGGCTTTTGGACACAGCATTGAGAAATGCTAATTAAGTAACCGAATGTTGTTACACTCTACTTTGATTAGACAGAGGAAGAAGTTTGATGCGATTATTTTGAGATCACGTGTTTATGATGGAAAATAGATTGAATATTTGTGTTATTACTTTGTAGAAGAAAATGTGGTATCGGTTAGTTGTTTGTGTCTGGTATTAGGTGTCAAAGATTTTTGTTCGTATCGAAGGTTCATGTATGTAAAATTTGTTATGTATGTTTGAATTGGGGAAAGCACGGACGAAATTGAAACTACCGGGGGATGTAGATTAACATGGTTTTAGGTTTGTCGAAACAGTAAATGAAAGAAATAATGTGCAGAAGATATGGAAATTTCATGATGTATTTCATTGGTTAATTTAAAAATTAACATAGATAACGCATGAATTCAAAAATTTAGGACACTTCATAGTGTCACTCCTGCTGATTTTTTTTTTTTACAGAAATAGCATTCGTGGCGTTTATAATATGAACTTTGGTCTTCTTTTTTTCCATTTCGTCTTTGATGTTATAACTTTTAACCTATGAACAGTCCACATCATCTTTGTGTAGTCATTAAATCATATTTTATCTATTAGAAATTCATTATTATTATATAAAACGTTTCGTTAGAACTTACAGTTCTATCTTGTGTGGTTTGTTACACAGAAGTTCTAAGCAACTTGATGTCATCTTCTAGTATGTTTCCTTCATTCAAAATGAATAAAATTACCTTCGAATAACGTGAGTTCATTATAATTCTCTACGATATGCTATTTGTCGGAATATATTGTACACTGCTATTTACAATGACCTCGTAATACTTTCATAGAAATTCTCGGTTTCTGATTCTATCTCCCCTGAAAATCTTATCGAAATCGACTCTAACTCTATCAAACAAGAGTTCTTCACCAGAACGTCTCAGTAACTTGACATGTTTCATCTCATTTCTTCTCGTTTTCTTTAACCGAAGAAACTGAGATCAGAAAGAACTAGCTAACGTAGTATACTTAAGCATGTTACCAAATTGATTCTGTATTAGGTACAAATTACAGAAGCTGGTAATTGATTACAGGTGACGAAAATTTTACGAGATGTATTGGCATCACCCACAAACATGTCTAGCATCACTACAGCTGTTCTTTTTTCCCAATTATGGATAATCCTGATCAATTATTTGTTATTGTTTGTTGGGTTTTCGTTTAGTTTATCCAGAAACGGGAAAAAAGTGTTTTCGGCTTAGTTAGATATTTTATATTTATGTACGTGTTTTAATTTGTTTTTTTCCTCCCACTTGTCCGATTAGGTTCATATGTAACTCATGAGACAAACCACTTTGTCTACTTCTATTTGGATTCCAAAGCAGTGCTCTTGTTCAAATCCGGCTGAAAGAAACGACGAATGACGAACAAGATAAGAAAGGTGACGATATCTTTATCCACCGCTTGCATTTTGTATGTATTACTAAAAACATAAAACTTTATCTGCTTTGAAGACTTTTGTTGTGCTTGTATATTTGGGAACTTTAACTTGCTATTCTTCTACACACGAACGAGGTTCATGATTCCCGGTCGATTTTTAGGGCTGCGTTCTGTTTTGATTGTTGACCATGAACAAACCTTAACTGGAAAATGCAAAATTAAAAAATTAAAAAAAAGATCCATCATCTGCATTATAAATTCATGATTGATATGTGAGTTCAGTTCAATTTATGATCATCTGCTATTTGATTATCATCTCTACCTCTATTCTTGATGGCATGTCGTTTCTTCTTTTCTCTCTGTGTGTGTGTTTGTGTTCTGTGTGTGTGTGTGTGTGAGAGAGAGGGAGAAGAGAGAGAGAGAGAGAGAGAGAGAGAGAGAGAGGCAAAAACATAGTACAAAATGTCCTTTTCCAAGAGAAGATTGGTGGGGGTGGGGGGTGGGGTTGTCCAAGAAACTCAGTATATATGAGTTCAAGAAAGTACTGCCCACTAGCCCCCCCCACCCACCCCATCCCCATGGCCATGCCAGAATTTCTGAGACTGAGAGTGTACTGTATCTGGAGGGCTGTGAGTAACAGAAAATAGGATAGATTCTCCAAAAACTTGGTCCACCCCTGGGTTTACTAGTGTCCACGTCCCAACTGAAAGATACTATTGCCATATTTATGCTTTGAAATTCTAAATACTCTCCCATCAAATTCCTCC